GTGGTGGTGGTGGTGGTGGCGGTGGCGGTGGCAGCGGGCCAGCGGTGGCCGATAGGACTTCCAGGCTCGGCGCGCACATGAGTTGGGCGTTGCTTTTTGAGCAATTGTGAGGTTTGAGCGAGTCGTGCTAGCGACCATGGTGAGGGCCGGCGGCGGCGGCGGCAGCAGCGGGGAGCCGGCCGTGTTTGGGCGCAGGGGTAACCCCTCTACTGCCCTAGGGCGGGGCGGCGGCCACCTGTTTGTGTTGCTTCGTCGGTTGCGCGCATGCTTTTTGCGCTTGGCGCTTATCTTGTGTTGTGGTTCCCCTCGCCTTGCTGTAGTCGGTAAACCTCTCGGGCAAGAACTGTGGTGGTGGTGAAACCGCACGGCAGCGTCACCCCAGTTTCGCAGGTCGACTGGTGCACCCTGCCGGCCTGCTGCTCGTGTGATTATGGGCATGGATGCGCGTGGTCACCTAATGGTCTTGGGCCGTCGGCGGTGCCGCACAGCATTAGCCCTGCGCAGCCCATAGCCACGCAGCCGCCGTGCCGGCGGGCGCGCCTCGCTGCTGTTCACGCTCGAGCTTAGCTGCTTGCTGACGTTGGACTGCAGTGAATGCGCCGGTCCGCATCGCTCATTTGGGAGAGTGCCAGCGGCAAAGGCTGGCACATATGGGCAGGTGATAGATCGTAGGTCGCTGTGTGGTCCTAGGTGCCACGGGCGCGGCGTCTTTTTGTTGGCTTTCGGCGACCGGGTGACTCTGGGCTCAAGTTCAACACTGAAGTGACGCCCATGGGCATGCCAGCCAGTGTTAAAGCTTCATATCGGAGGGTAAGAGAAGGCCCTTGGACACTCGACAGCCCCGGGGGTTGGAACCCGACGTGCGGTCCCCAGGCGCTTGGAAACCAACGCGCGCGGCCCCCTTGCGGTTGGAAACAGTCGCGCGCAGCTGCTGTTCGGTTGGAAACCGTTTTCGTGGTTCCCCATGCTGTTGAAACCCAACGGCCGCACCCTTGGCGGTTATGCCGCCAAGGGGGTGAACTTCACCAACCCCGCCGGCCCTGCCAAGCTAGCCTTCGGGGTGCCCGGCAAGAGCAGCTCATGAGTGGTCGACCATCTAACAATTTGGGATCAACCACGGACGCGGATGTTTGGAACAACTTCCATCCAGTGTTGCACTGAGCGTGCCTCACACACACCAGCGGCCGCAGGCCAGGGCCACCAGCAAAACTATTGATTGGCTGCATACTGTACCAAGGCTGGACTGCCACTGGCCTCAAGCTTACGGTGTGGCAACAGCAGGGCGACAGGCTCAGCAATCGGTTGGGTTGCGGCACCAGACAAACAGCGCACCACGATTCTTACTGTGTATGTACAATCTCACATGCGATCGCGAGCCTGCGGGGCCTGTTCTTGCTCAAGAGACACAAACAAACCCATGATCAGATTTACAAACAAAATTTGTACCGCAAAAAAAGCATCGGGACATCCAGGAGACTGCCACTGTGCCAGCACAAGAACACGAGCATGATTGACATTTGCAGGATTTACGCTACAAAACAACATTCATCATCATGCCACTTTACGACAGCTCGAAGCCTGCACCAGCAGTGATGGCATACAGCAGCTTTTGCCGCAGCCCGCGCTTTGTTGAGTAGTTTGGAAGCTTCAACATGCAGAAGCATGTGCTGCAGGAGCAAAGCATGGAGTGGAGGGAGCATTGAGTAAGGGGATGCGACTACGAAGCGCATACATTCGTCCCCACACACGAGGAAGGTGGTCGAGACCAATTTTGAATGAATAACCACCATTGCGGCTCGCAGCCAGCTGGGCTCATGCACTCTAGATCTCCCTTCCTGAAAGCACAGCAAGCGCACCTGGCAGTGGGCAGCAGCTCCACGTCCCTTCCAACCAGCCCAGCGAGGGGGTTCCGGGGGCCACAGTCTACCTTGTGTACTGTAAAGGGTGGATTCAGGTGCTGAAACCCTCCCAATGGAGCACGGCTGCTTGAGGTGACAAAGCGCAGCAGCTGGGAGCGCTGTGTAGGAGTGAACTCCGCCACCACCTCCCAGAAAAGCTTGACGGCGCGTGAAGAGTCGCTGTACCCGTTGCTGTACCGAGAGTGTGCTGCAGCACACCATGGGGATGAGGGGCTTAGTGTGAGATGAGACATGGAGGGTGAGGGTGACGAGAGAGCAAAATGTTGAGATGTTGTGTCAAGCACAAGGCTGGATTCCTGCAGGACTGCCGGGGTAGGCTGCTAACTTTGAGATGTGTGTTGTTGCTCATACCGCTTCAGGCCAGCAGCTCACCCCGGAGGTCGTCGATGTCAACGCCGCCCTCCAGGCCCCCGGACAGCAGCTGGTTGAACTCCGCAGGGGAGAAGAGCCGCAGCCCCGCGAGCGGAAGGACACGCGACATGCCCGCGGCGAAGGCTGCAGCGGGACGTCCCAGCCTGGGGTAGCACACGTGTCAAATGCACGGCATTGTGAAGGCACAGCAGCAAACGCCATGGTTGACACTCGTGCCAACCAGCCACGCATCGCCCAGACGCGGCGCTTAAGCAATGGATGCGCATAGCATCAGCGTCAATAATACGCGCTGCAAGAAATGCACAGTGTCGTTCATGAACACCTCCTGTTGAGGTGAAAGTCCGCCAGCAGGTGACAGTAAAGGGTACGACTGTCGTTGGTAACAGGCAACGACCCGCCACCAGGGAGCAGGTCCACAGAGACCGTCTTGAAAGGGAGCAAGGTGGGTTGAAATCTCAGTTGTGAGCACGAGACGATGTTCGAGCGGCATACATGGGGCCTGCGCACATAGCCTTGACGCTGCTCGCAAGCGCGATGCTGAGCCTTGGGCACGACCACCCTGCGCCTTGCCCGCCTCTCGCACTGCCACAACCCGCTGAATACACCACCACCACTTCCGGCTCAAAAAACACAGCATCCACACCCACCTGGCCAAAGCTCTGCAGGTCAACGCTGAAGGTGAGACCCAGGTCTGCGACGTCGCCGCCATAGTCCTTCACGGCCGCCAGCCCCGAGGCCAGCCCCGCGTCCACTGCCGCCAGGTCATCCACCCCAGGCCTCTGGCCCTGCAGTGCCAGCACCAGAGGAGGAGCCAGGGCCAGATCCAGCAGGATCCCCTCGTACAGCGCTTTGCCCACGAGCAGGCCTTGGGTTGCGCATCATGGGGATGGGGGGACGGCAATGGAGCATTCAGGCGCAGATGGACCAGCATTCAAGGTGGACAGAGTGGCCCATTGCACCTATCATGTTGACGGCAAGCTCTGAACCTTCTCCTGGGGTCAAGGATCCAGGTCTTATCGTGCGATTGATTGGTATCCGGCCCGCCACCCCAAGCTGTGCTCTTCACCTGTGAACTCCAGCAGAGCGAGCCCGTGAGGGATGGCCTCCGCAGTGGGAGAGGGGTAGGCCAAGCCGCTGCCCTGTGCCACCTCAAACAGCCCGTAGCTGTAAGAACATTGTTGACACGGGGGCAGCATCGGGCATCAGTGGGCAGTACAGAAATGTTTGAAAACAGTGCCATTGTGCCTGCCGGCGACCCAGGTGAGAAAGGCAGCAACCTCGTAGCTGCGTCTTTGCAAACGAGGCGTCGGCTCACCCCGGCTGCAAGGCCGCTGCCACTGCCGTTTCCAGCAACTCCTTTGTCAGGCCACCATGGTCCAGGCCAGCCTCCGGGGCGCCTGACGCGCTTATGAATGTCACCTGGTGGGTTGAGGGAAGGGGTGACCAAGATCATGTGAAACACGAGTTGACTGAAGCACGCTGCCGTCAACAGGGATGAAGGATTTCTGCAACTCCAGCATATGCCATCTGAGCCTCTGAGCGTTGCAGCAACCCCTTGCAATGGCCCGCACACACCCCGTAATGCCCCCTCCCCTTGCTCACATAGAGGCGACCCTTCATGGCCTCGCCCATGCCTCCCAGTGCTGCGTAGGCATCCTCCAGAAGCTGGTCGCGCCGCACTGTCAGCTTCAGGGGGCGGGGCCCACCCTCCGCTGCGCTCACGTCCCACCGGCCCCTCGCCTTGTCCTCCTGAAGAACCTGCCTGCAAGGGAGGAGGGCGGCGTTGCAGGTAGGCAGGCAGGGGAACAGCGGCGGTATGAATGGGCGCTTGAGGGCGTCGTGCTGGGGTGCAGGGCTCCGGGTCTGCCGAACCAGGTTGGCCTGGTGGGGGAAAGCCTCGTCCATAAGACAAGAGCTCACCTGAACAGCTGCAGCCGCACGTCAAAGGGGACGCACTGAGGCGCGGCGCGTAGCAAAGCTGTCATGGCAGATGGGCTTCCCGCGACAGCCATACCTAGGGCTGGCAGCGCGTCTGTCAAGCCACCATCTCCTGCGCTGGCGCCTGCCGCCACTGCTTGGCTGTCAGTTGTCCCCGCTGTTCCACCAAACAGCAGGCCCTGCACCACCGCAGTAACTGCCCTGAGCCCAGAATGCTGCTCCCAGCCAACCCTGCTCTGCCGCGGCTGCTGCTGCTGGCCACCGGGCGGTGCACCGGATGCGGCGCAGTGCGCGTCATACGGCGCCGTCCAGAGAGCGGGCTGGCAGAAGGGATGGCGCTGATCCCTCTCGTACAGCCCGCGCAGCGCCACGGGCGCGTAGCGCTCCAACAGCCGCGACCCCGCACCCAGCGTGGCTGCCGATACCAGCTCGACCCCCGCGTCGTCACAGCCCAGGCCGTTGCTGACGCGCTTGCCGAGAGATGGGCGCAATGTGTTGCCCTGGTGCTGCGGCGCCGGCCGTGGGAAGTGTGTGTGGTACACAAGCGCATTAAGCGACGTAGCTATAGCACGCGCTGCGCCAGTGGAGAAAGGCTGCCCTTTTGAGTGGAGGTCCGCGTCGCTGAGCACCAGCAGCAGATGAGACAGCACCCTGCAAAAGAATGAGGTGTTTGTCAAGAGCGTGAGTGCTGTTGTCAAGGAGCCCAAGCCGTTTGTGTGAGCTCACAAGATTTAACATTGCCTTTCGGCAATTTGCCGGCCGACCAGGGGTCACTAAGCAAGACAACAGCAACCCCACCCACGAGGACCCCGCACCTACAAAACACTCCAAGCACGAGCGTGTGCTGCCCCGCCAGCCGTCTGCAGCCGCCCGCGACAGCCTCGACATCCAGCCCCAGCCGCGCTGCCAACGGAGCCTCAAGGGGCAGCCCCAGGTCCAGTGACAGCCACCGCCACAGGGCCGGCAGCACCTGGGGGGCAAACGCCAGCGCGTTGAGCGCAGCGCTTGCGCCGCTACCAGTGTCCGCTGCCTGCTGTGGGTCTGCAGCCGCTGCTGCCGGTGGCGCTGTTGCAGCACCCCGCTCAACCAGGGTCTCTGCCGCCGGCAAGTCCTGCAGCAGGTGGAGGCAGAGCCCTGCAAACAGGGGCATGTCGCGACCGTCCCCCAGGACGCCCAGCAGCTGGAGCAGCGGGGCCTGGGCCCCCAGACACGCAAGCTGGCGGGCCACCAAGGCCGCCTCGGGGGTCGACAGCGCCATGGTCTTTGGGCCCTTGCTGGCAGCCGCGGCCGCGGGCAGCAGAGCCATGACTGCGCCGCACCAGGCCGCCGCTCCCCGACGCTCTACCAGGTGTGGCGACGCTGGCAGCCGTAGCAGCGAGGGTGCGTCGCCAGCGGGCCGCCGCCCAGCTGTGCCCATCACAAGGTGAGTCAGGTTGCCCAGCAGCGCCGCCGCTGCTGTTCCGCAGACCACACGGTCGTGCGCCAGCTCTCTGGCAGCACCCAGCAGCACAGACAGGATAGGACCTCGCAGCAGGCGCGCTCCTGTGCCCTCAAGCAGCACTGCGACCAGGCCAGGGGCGGTCAAGAGGCGCTCTGCGAAAGTGCGCACATACTGCTGCTGCTGCAGCTGCAGCAGCTGCTGCTGCTGCTGCTGCTGCTGCTGCTGCTGCTGCTGCTGCTGCTGC